ATGCGGATGTTCGTTCATCACGTTCTTCCTCGACTCGTGTCTTCATTTCGAACTCATACGCCTTAAGATCACTAAAGAGTTTATCCGTAGATAATGTCCTTAGATCTCTATGATCGCGCATTGCGGTCACCTTCATATCCCAATTTGTAGGTAATCCGCGTAACACTTTGAGCGATATTTCCTTCTGGGTAATGGTCTTTCCCAGATCCGTGATCTCTCCAAGAATTTTGATCAATCGAGCTTCCATGTCGGTGATGCTTTCGTTCGGCAGCATTTTGAAATCTTCGAACCTCTTCATGGCAATGGTTAGTTTATTGTCTTTTTCTTGTTCATCGCCTTCACCGATTCCGATAAGTGTATCTCATATTTCTTTTGTTGTGGTGCACTTTCGAATCTTTGGGAATATGGTGTCATCGACCGCTTTGAACAAAATATCTTTGGCAATGTTGTCCAAATTATTTCGCCCTCTATCTTCCTTTGTCCACTCCATTTTTGGCGTTGGTATATATCGTGGAGCATTTGGAGTTAGTGCGGCGGCAGTGTTAACTTCCATAATTTGGATAGGACCATTTGCGATGACTTCCCACATTTCGTCATTTAAGGCAGATAAGTGCACCTGCATACGTATTTTCCAATCATCAAATTTATCAAGTGAGAAAAGCAAATTTTGAGCAAGAGTCATATCTCTCTTCATCTTGAAGATTTTGAGATCTATCTAGCAGTCAAAATTGACTCAAATAGACAACAGCTCTGATACCACTTGTTGGTCCCGAAAGGGGTGGCGAGAAGTCTAGAGGGGGGGGGGGGGTGAATAGACTTCTCTAAATTTTTTAAACTTTCTTCGAAAACACACAAGGCAAATAAGACTTTGATAATTTCAACTCTAAGTAACAAGCACCAACAAGGTAAACAACTTAGAGTGCACAGCGGAATAAATAACGGCAAAGTGTTATGCTTAAGTAGTGCGGTGTTCAAAGAGAGATTCTAAACATGCAACACGTTAGAAACACTTGATATGGCTCAAAGATGATGTACGTAAAGTTTGGCTTGCATGCATACGTGGGAACTATCAAACCCAGACAGATAAAGATATGCGATAAATCGTAATCGGGTTAGTTCGCAGTTAGAATAAGCATGCACAAAATATATGAGAAGATGTAAATAGAGAGAGAGATTTATAGTGGTTCAGAGGTGGTGTAATCCTCCTAGTCCACTCTTCTCCTTTCACTTCAAGGAGGAAATTCACTATTCTTCGATCACCCAGATACAATAGTGAATAAGTGTCCACCGACACTTCTCCGAGTGCTTCGCACAAAGCTACACTCCTCCAAGGTTTTTTGCAAGCTCCTCTTGTTACTCCGCCTTCCCGAGTACTTCGCACCAAGCTGTACTCCTACACCACGAGAACTACGCACAAAGCTACGTCCTCACAGGGTTTTCACAAGCTCCTCTTGTTACTCTGCCCTTTACAACGAGTGCTACGCACAAAGCTACACTCAACCAGGGTTTTTCACTCTCTCTAGTTACTCCGCCATCTTTCTACACTCAGTAGAGAATATTACAAAGAAATAAAATTTCTCTCACTCAGACTTGAATTTTATTCTATGAAGCTCTGTTTCCCCCTTTTTGGCTAATTAAAAAATAGATTGTATCTTTTGCTTGTATGTCTTAGCCGTTGTTCAAATCGTTGAACTGCTCAAATCGGGGTTCTTCTCTTTTCTTCGCTTTTTGTCTTCAAATCTGCTTGGACAATTTATAGCTAGTGAAAGCTATTTGCCCGTTGATCAACTTTCGATCTCGATCGTCCATTTTGAATTGTAGTTGATCAAAAGATATTGTCAACTTGATCTGAAATATTAGGTAGATGTCTTTTCACCTTTTGTCAGATTTGAATAATTTGCCCGTTGCCGTGTCTTGAATTTTGTAGCCTCCAAAATTTGAATAAGTTCGGCGCGGCAAGCTTGATATTTCTTGTCCTTCATAAATGTTCTGACATGTCAAGTTGATCAAATAATTTATCTGCTGATTCTTGCTTGAGTGTAAAATAATTTCTCCGCGACTCGAGCGTCTCTGGTTCCACCGTAAAAACTTGATGTTCAGATGAAAATATATCAGATATTTTCTCCTTCATGATCCTTGTAAAATAATAAGCTGGAACCTCTGTAAAAACTTCATAGTTATTCATGGTGAGATGCTCTGTTTCGAATTTAAGCTTGGTCCACCATACTAGGTGTGTTTATGGCTTGTGAGACTTGTGCATTTTACTTAGTCTCCATACTCTTAGCTAGTCTCCTATACACTAGAGCTAGTTTGGCCCAGTCTACCATACGGTTTGGTATACTTGAGCTAGTCTCCCATACGATCCAAGCTAGTCTCCCAAGTAAGTTAAAAATGCTTCACTTGAAATTCAAACTTAGGATCATTTAGCATAGCTCACACGCGTTTCTTCCAACTCCTCTAGCATGGTTCTTGGTGACTTATCCGCATCATAATTATGTTAAGCTATAATCCCGCTTAACATTTAAAATCACCTTGTGATTTTCCAGACTTGTACATGGGTTGCATGATATGGGTACACCATACTCCGTAGACTTAAACTGACTCAAATAGAATAAAAATGGGGACTACTTGATTTTTCAAGAATATATTCGGCTCTTCAAAATTTACAAAATATTCCTAACAGGGTTGATTACCCCTCCCAATCAGGACCAGCAGCCACATCAACCATAATAATATCAGCCACATCAAAAATCAAAAATATATATTATTTTGGAAATATACAAACTTACAAAGAGTACAGTGATGTAGAATGCAATCATATATTAGACGGCCTAATTGTCTTTTGCATCTTCATATCTAATAATCTATAGCTTTAATTTGAATTGAATTTCTTGGGAGTTTGTGGATCAACAATTCTATCCAACTACTGCTTATATATATAGTTCCTGATTGTAGTCGTAGCTACATCATCTATCTATCAACTTCTCTTTATTTTATCTACTACACAATCCTAATAATGAGGAGTTGTAGTTTAGAATATCTTCATTATAGTTTAGAATAACAGAGCAAATTTAATGAATACTTTATGTTACTTTCAAGTGATAATTTTTTTTTAATACTTATGTGATCTCCACTTCACCGGATTAATCTTAAATCCACAAAGTATCACACCTAGAATTATTGTTGAAGTAAATTGTGAGTTATGTAATCAGGCCATTGGTCAGACTCTAGTCTTTATGTGCGCACAATAGATAAGTTCCACACATTTCATCATTTTGGACCCTTTTCCTATTTATGTTTTTTAATAGAATTCAAATTCCCTCACTGTCGTCTTCAGTTAGTGCTCTTTTTATCCACAAGGGTATCTTGCTTTATTGGTTTGAGTTGTGATTGATTTTGTAGAAAGTGAGGTTGCAAATTTACAAACTAAAAGGTTATAATGTCTTTTATGTTGCAAATTCGTCTACACCAATATCTAAATCTTACCCACAAAACATATTTTCAAAATGGTTTATTTGTGATAAAAATTCTTTTTAAAATTTTGAGTTGAAAATGTTGAAACCAGTTTTTAATTTTTTTTTTTTAATTAAGAAGCAACTTAGAACTTTTTCAAAAACTTTTAATTAATTAGAGAACAGCATAAAAATGTTTCTTTCCCGAATAAAAGATATAATAAATTAGATTGATCAATAATAATTTTTTTTCCATAACTATTATTCTCATCATCAATATAACTAACGATGTGATGAATAATAAATATTATAAGAATAATCACAAGAACTTCTAAAATATACATTCCTATCATAATAGTAAATTCCACAAAGATTTCTTCTATTTTACCCAACAAACGAAAAACACAAATATTATTATCATCACTAGTATTGTATTTGCAATATGAATAAAAAGAAATACACACATGATTAAAATAGACTAAAATTGTTTTCCAAAAAAAAAAAAAGAGACTAAAATTCTTTATTTAAAATGACATGGGGGTACTCCGGTGGTCTTATGCATGTATTTCCCACAGCTCATGAAGACAGGCTAGCTGATCTTGCTTCCGTGCATGACCCTTCATTTATAATAACTACAAATTCAATTTCACTGCTAGAAAGGAAATGTTGTAATTTTAAATGATAAATTTAGAACAATTTTAATTACCTATTTCTTCAACATGGCTCCCATGCTCCTCTTCAATTTGGTTCCATGAGATACAATGAAAAGATATATATCGTCTTTCTTGTCTTCCAAAAATTGGAAAAACGCATGTCTCCAAGAACGCTTGAGTATTAGCGTTCCACACACTCCCCAAAATCCAAGAATAAATCCAAGTGTCATACTCAAAAAGAAATCAAAGTCTAATAAAATCCAATGCTCTTCTTCATCATCATCATCATTTCCTTTTGTCCATAGACCATTTCCTTGTTTGCTACTTTGACATTCAGTCTGAAGTGGAAGCCCGCGTAATTCTGGATTCCCTTGATACGCTTCAGTGAACCCTTGTAATTGCGTGCCAGGTGGAATGCAACCAGATAAGTTATTATTTGACAAGTCCAAGACTGCAAGAAATGATAAATTAGCCATGCTCACTGGTATTGCTCCAAACAACTGATTTTGTGATAGATCGAGAATCTCTAGCGAGTTCATCTCACCAATCTTGTACGGGATGGACCCAATCAAATTGTTATTTGAAAGGTTTAATGAGATTAGCCCATGCAAATCTGTCAAGTCTACAGGGATTTCTCCAACCAATCTGTTGTTTGATAAATCAATGACTTTCAAGAATTTGAGGTTTTCTCTATACTCAGCCTCCTTTCCCTTCCACGTAACCAATTCAAAATCAAAGAAAAAGTAATGGAGACTATTTAATATCCCAAATAGGGAGGCACTCTCTTCAAAATGTGCTTCGTCTAGAAACCATTCATCAAGCATTTGAGTCATTGCACTACTATAATTACTGAAGCAAGCCGGGATGGGTCCATATAAGTTGTTTGAAGATAGATCTAAGACTCGCATGGATTGAAGTTGGCAGATACTAGTAGGGATGGATCCTTTTAGTTGATTTGAATGCAAATAAAGGACCTTCAACTGTGTCAAACTTTCCCCAATCCATACAGGAATCTCCCCACTTAATTGATTCTTTCCAAGATCCAAAATTCTCAATGAAGTGCAATTCTTCAAAGATATGGGCAACTCCCCAAATAAACCAGTGTTCCTTAAATGCAGTGATGAAATCTGATTCAAATAGCCTAGAGATGAAGGGATTTCTCCAGAGAAGTTATTATTTGCTAGGTTTAGCAGCCCAAGGTCATTACCAGCATATTGTGCCAAACATTCAGGAATATTCCCAGAGAAGAGATTGTCGGAAAGGTCAAGATAATTAGATTCCTTAAACTCATTTGTACACAGAAAAGAAATGGTCCCAGACAAGTTGTTTTTAGAAAGGCTTAGAAATATTGCTCCTGAGTAATTTTTTGGTACTGGGCCTTCAAGCTTGTTATCGCTCAAGTTTATTACAGTAAATGTTGAGGCCAAGTTAGGTAAGATGCCTCGAAGCGAATTTTGAGAAATAGTCAAATCACGTAAGCAAGTGAGACTAGAGAGCCATTGAGGAATGAAGCCTGAAATTCCATTATCCGAGATATCGAGGATTTCTAGGTATAATGTCTGTGTCTGAATCCAACTAGGAAATTTGGGACCCAACTTGCAAGATCTTAGTCTTAGACGCCTCAATTGAAATGGGGGAACCCACTTAGTGCTCAGATTCAACTTTATATCGTTATCGGACAACGAAAGCACCTCCAATTTGCTAAAATTAGAAAAGTGGGTTTCATTGATGGCTTCTTCTAAGAAGTTTGAAGAAACATCTAGCTCAATAAGATTGGAAAGGTGACCGATGTTACTCCCCATTAAATTTCCTACAATCTGATTGTAGCTAATGACTAAGGATTCAAGAGACAACATTGTTGACATGTCGGGTAGTGGACCAGAAAGTTGATTTTCGGTCATGTCCAATGCTCTCAGGGAAGAAAACTTTTTGATATCATGCAATGATCCAACAATTTTGTTACTTCCAAAATTCAAAACTTGTATCGTTTTCTCAGAACCTAAAACCAGTTCTGAGAAGTTGAAAGAAAACAAGTTTTTTGACAAATGTAGAGCTTTCATGTTCCCAAGATACCTCAAAAATTTAAGATCCTCAGTCTTCTCACCTTGTAGAAAATTATAGGAGAGGTCAAGATGTTCGAGGGAGTACATTTTGGCCACAACATCTGGAACCATACCATATAATTGGCTATTAAAAAGCTTTAGTTCTTTCATCCTATAACTTTGATTTAGCCACAAGTTCAATAATGAAGAAGTTAGATCCCCACCCTCCATATACAAGTATTCAAGGGACTTGGAAGAGTTAAGGTTGAGAAGTGATTGGAGATTATTGGGAACTGTATAGGAATACAGATGTAGAGCTCTCAACAATGGCAACTTTGTAATTGACTCTAGCCAATCTAAAGTTTGATAGAGGTATGTAAATTTCAAGTTGAGGTATTCCAAAGATGAAAGACCAGAAATCCATTGTAAAGAGGAACCCATCCAGAGAAAATTATTTCCAAAGTCGAGATATTTTAAGGTGGAAATATTTCCTAAATGAGGAGGAACGTTCCCGAACAAATGGTTGAAAGAAAGATTGAGATAGACTAAGTTGTGTAGAGAGCCAATGAAGGTTGGAATAATAGTTTCAAATTGATTGCAACTAAGATCCAAGTAATTGAGAAATGATAAATCAAGCAAGGAAGGGCCAATTTCACCTTGTAAAGAAGGGCTGACTTCACAATAGAAGTGTGGAGAGCATGATGTTCCATTAGAGCACAAGACTTGAGACCCCAAACGAAGAGCAACAACATGGGCAGTTGTATTGTCGCAACGAATTCCCTTCCATTTACAACAATCATTATCTTCACCGGTCCATGAGGAAAGAAGGTTGTTAGGGTCGGAAATGCCATGTTTGAAGCTTAGAAGAGCTTGTCTCTCATTCTCCATGCAAATGCTATTTGAGATTCTAGTATTAGAGAAGAACAAAAGCCAAACAAGAAAAAAACTATAATGAAGATATTCAAAACTACAACTCCTCATTATTAGGATTGTGTAGTAGATAAAGTAAAGAGAAGTTGATAGATAGATGATGTAGCTAGGACTACAATCAGGAACTATATATTATAAGCAGTAGTTGGATAGAATTGTTGATCAACAAACTCCCAAGAAATTCAATTCAAATTAAAGGTAGATTAGATATGAAGATGCAAAAGACAATTAGGCCGTCTAATGACTGCATTCTAAATCACTCTTTGTAAGTTTGTATATTTCCAAAATAATATTATATTGTTGATGTGGCTGATATTATTATGGTTAATTTTCTATTTTTCATCCTATTGTGATTGAGGGAGTAAAAATTGAAAGAATATTTAATATTTATGTATGTATCTTTTTATTATATTATTAGTTTATTATTCACGAAAAACTATAAAATCATCTATAATTTCAATGGAACTGGATTAATTTTGCAATTGTGAGGATACGGTATAAAAAAACTGCAAAAAGTATTTACAATGTCTTTCGTAATTATTACATATGTTCAACAAAATTATATGATAAATTTATATAATTCTACGAAATACAAAATAAACTAGTGATACCACAACACAAAATACCATAGAATTTTCGGATTAAACTTGAATACCTACTGCTGTTTTGCATATTTGGAATTTTCTACCTGTCTAAGAACAGAGTTAAGGTTTGTTAATGTGTTTTCGCTCAAAACATTATTTCTTTGTTTTTACATGCATTACATCAGTATATACATATAATATTTGACACTATATACATACATCTTTGGTGCCATATTATTTGTCTTCAAATATTCTCTGCCGCCATAACTTATTATTATGGATTTATGGATGGTAGTCACCCCAGGACGGCACAAACATTAAGTTATTACATGTACGATTAACTTGTGAGTTTGCATTATATTTACACAATATAGCCTTAACACACCATGTTTATACGTAGATTTGATCGAATAATTGACTTAATAATTATAAAATTTTAAATTTGACTCACTGTGGGAGCTATTTATTAACTTTATTGGTCTGAGCTAGAGTGCAAACGAGTCGAACCAAGCTCGAACCTAGGTTAGCTTGAGTTCGAGTTTGAAACGCTTCAATGAACCGTTGTAATTGTATGTTGAGTGGAATGTGCGCAACTTGATAAGTCCAAGCTTGAAAGAAATGATAATTGTGTGCCGAATGGAATGTGTTTTCTCACCAAACATTTTTGTTTTTACATGCATTGCATGATCTATTATCTTAAAATGTTATTGGAGCTATATACATCCTTAATTAATAAAAAAAAAAAAACATATATGATTATTTGGATATTGTAGCTAGGCATGAACTTAAAACCTAAAATAATTATGTAGCAACGTGATAAATAACCTTCCAAGTATACTTTTCTAGGTCAAGACAAAGCCTTGTTAAAAATTAACTCCTCAACCAGAGTAATGTTTCAAGGGAACTAGTAGCACATTGACCATAAAATCAGTCTACTTCCCAATAAACATGATGCACATGTAATGTTAGTTTGTGTACATTAAATTTTATTTTTGTGAATATATAGAAAAAATATTATGAACATACTATAGAGCAAATGGAAATAGATGTAATGTAATGTACTTGTTGTTAGCACATTCAGTTACGGTACTCAGACGGCTTAGTAAATACCAATACACCATCTAGGGTTCTGAGTCAAGTCTGAGGAAAAACATGGCTAACGGTCTACCGTTAAGAGGCAACACAACAGGAACATCAACTATGGCTAGAGATCAACACGGCTACGCTTTCGCTTGTTAATGAGTGTTATAATATATAGTTTTATATATCTTTATTTTATGTGGTTTAGTTTGTGTTGGCCTGAGCTCCCTATTGTTAAGGAGAGTTTCACGTCAACCTATCTTTTATCTAATTGTAATCGCATTCAGTTACAACTAATCAGAAATTGAATTCTCATTTGGTATCAGATAGGATAGATCCGTTTCTCTTTCTCTCTCCACCTCAAACCACCACCCTCCGCTCATCATGTCGTCCCATTCATCGGAGAGGACCGTCACGGCCGGCGGTTCCCCGTCTCCGGCGACCGGCGTCTCTCTCGCCGGCGCCCACCATCATGTCTCGATGAAGCTAAACAGCCGCAACTTCTTGTTCTGGCGGACCCAGCTGGTTCCCTTCCTCCGGGGACAAGATTTGCTGGGCTACGTGGACGGCTCGACGCCGTGTCCTTCCCCAACGATCGCCGCTGCTGCCTCCGGCGAATCCGGCTCCGGTACGACGACGCCGGGCGCTGTCATCCCCAACCCTGAGTATAAGGCCTGGGTCTTGCAAGACCAGTCCATCCTGTCTATGCTCATCTCATCCATGTCCGACGAGGTTCTGCACTTGGCGGTCGGACGGGAGACGGCGGCGGCGGTGTGGCAGTCGATCACCTCGTCTCTCGGATCATCAACCGAAGCTCGTTGCCTCAGTCTGTTGGGGCAGTTCCAGACTTTAAGGCAGGGAAACCAGACGACCACAGAGTACCTGGGGCGCGCGGAGCTTCTCGTCGAGGCGTTGGCGCAAGCTGGCCGGCCGCTTTCATCCACCGAGCAAAACTTATATGTTTTGCGTGGATTGCGCCAAGACCTGCGCGTATTGGCTGCTTCTCTTACCGCCACAAACAAGGCAGTCTCACTCCCACAATTGGCGGATTTTCTAACGGCGCAGGAATTCATAATCTCCGACGACTACTCGGTCGGAGGTGACGGCAGCACCGGCCACCCACCGGCAGCCTTATATGTCGGGCGTGGTCGCGGCTCAGGCGGAGATGGTGGACGCAACTCGGGTCAACAGTGGAGGGGTGGCCGAAACAACCACAACAACGGCCGAAACAACCGCGGTCGTGGTGGCCGGAATGGTGGCCGGAACGGTGTTCCCCGCTGCCAGATATGCCGTGTCCAAGGCCACACGGCGGTGTACTGCTACAAGCGTTACACAACCCAACCGCCGGCAGAAGCGCATGTTGCTACCGCCGGCGACATTCCGGCGACTCCCTCGGCTGCATCGACGGACGGCTGGTACCCCGACACCGGCGCCACCGCACATGCCACGCCGGACGCAAGCATGATGTCCCGATCCGACGAGTACAGTGGCCCCGATGTGTTACGGGTCGGAAACGGCGCAGGTTTGGCTATCACCCGTGTCGGTCATGCATCAATCCCGTCCGCGTCTAAAAATTTAAATCTTTCTAATGTGTTACACGTCCCGCGTCTGTCTGTCCCATTACTTTCTGTACAAAAGTTTACAAAAGATAATGGTGTTTATTTTGAATTTCATAATAATTGCTTTATTGTGAAGGATTCCAACACCAGGGCCATTCTGCTTAAGGGACCAACTTCTGGGGGACTGTACAAGCTTCCGTTGTCAAACAATCATTTCGCGTTCGTCAGTTCCCGGGCCACACAAGACGTTTGGCACCGCAGGCTAGGTCACCCGCATGGGGTTGTTCAGAAACATATTCTAAAAGATTGTCCAGTTTCAGCAAATAAGTCAAATTCCGCGGGGTCGTGTGCGGCTTGCCATCTCGGCAAATCGTCTCGGTTTAAATTAGATAGAAATCATAAATCTAGCTTGGCTGTTTTAGATTTAATTTTTACCGATGTATGGGGCCCCGCTCCAGTAGTCTCATCTAGTGGTAATCGCTACTTTTTATTGTTTGTAGACGATTACTCTCGGTACTGTTGGTTTTATCCGTTACGGGTAAAATCTGATGTTTATAAAATGTTTGAAGTGTTTCGGGTGATGGTAGAGCGACAATTCTCGCGCTCTATCAAGTGTGTCCAATCGGATTTAGGGGGTGAATTCACAAAGCTACAAACAATATTTAAAACTCTGGGTATTCAACATCGGCAGTCATGTGCGTATACACATGAACAAAACGGGCGAGTTGAGCGCCGTAATAGGCACATTGTCGAAACGGGACTTGCTCTTCTCGCTGAAGGCTCAGTACCGCTTGAATATTGGGACTTTGCCTTCGAAACTTCCACGTGCCTGATAAATTATCTTCCCACCCCCGTATTAAACTTTGATAGCCCTCACTCTTGCCTACACAAAGCGTCTCCTCCATACACGTTTCTTCGAATTTTCGGGTGTTTGTGCTATCCCCACCTTAGGCCGTATAATCGGCACAAAGTGGAGTTCCGCTCAGCACCCTGTGTCTTTCTTGGCTACCCACCGTCTTTTCGGGGATATAGGTGCATGGATCGTACAACTGGGAAAGTCTACATCTGCCGTTACGTACGGTTTGACGAGACGGTGTTCCCGTTTAAAACAAGAGCACCCGCCTCGTCTACACCGCCTACTTCATTGCCGTGGGCATCCGGGCCTATAGTCCCACGACTTGCCCCGATAGCTCCAACAACCAGCATTGTTCCAGTGCAAGAGGCTGAACCCGTGCCTTTAGCATGTGTACCCGCGCCCCAAGCAGCTGTCACGGCACCACCCCGTGCCAGGGCAAAACGGCGCCGCACCGAGCCCCAAGATCGTGGTCATGTGATGCGTCTACGGCATCAGACTCGGGGCACGGATGAACAATTTCAGGCCTTACACATAACGACTGATCCTACTTGCTATTCCCAGGCTGTAGGACATCCGCAGTGGCGAGGTGCCATGGACCAGGAATTCAATGCGCTACTTCACAACAGCACTTGGCGGTTGGTTGCACCAGAACCCCACATGAATATTATTGGCTGCAAGTGGGTATTCCGCACCAAACGCACAGCTGATGGAGCAGTAGAGCGCTATAAAGCTCGCCTGGTCGCCAAGGGCTTCAACCAGGTAGCAGGCGAGGACTTCTTCGACACCTATAGCCCGGTGGTCAAGCCGACCACAGTTCGGCTGCTTTTCTCCCTTGCTGTCTCATCTGACTGGACGATGCGCCAGCTAGACGTGCACAAT